AACAGCTCTGACAATGGTGACTACTAACAGTCCTGACAATGGTGACTACTAACAGCTCTCACAATGGTGTCTACTAACAAATCTGACAATGGTGTCTACTAACAAATCTGACAATGGTAACTACTAATATCTGACAATGGTGACTACTAACACCTCTGACAATGATGACTACTAACATCTGACAATGGTGTCTACTAACAGCTCTGACAATGGTAACTGCTAACATCTGACAATGGTGTCTACTAACAGCTCTGAAAATGGTGACTACTAAAACCTCTGACAATGGTGACTGCTAACATCTGACAATGGTGACTACTTACAGCTCTGACAATGGTGTCTACTAACAGCCCTGACAATGGTGATTACTAACAGCTCAGACAATGGTGTCTACTGACCGCTCTGACAATGGTGTCTACTAAAAGCTCTGACAATGGTGTCTACTGACAGCTCTGACAATGGTGTCTACTAACACCTCTGACAATGGTGACTACTTACAGCTCTGACAATGGTGACTACTTACAGCTCTGACAATGGTGACTACTAACATCTGACAATGGTGACTACTTACAGCTCTGACAATGGTGTCTACTAAGATCTGACAATGGTGTTTACTAACAGCTCTGACAATGGTGTCTACTTACACCTCTGACAATGGTGACTACTAACAGCCCTGACAATGGTGATTACTAACAGCTCTGACAATGGTGACTACTAACATCTGACAATGGTGACTACTTACAGCTCTGACAATGGTGACTACTTACAGCTCTGACAATGGTGTCTACTTACACCTCTGACAATGGTGATTACTTACAGCTCTGACAATGGTGTCTACTAACATCTGACAATGGTGTCTACTAACATCTGACAATGGTGACTACTAACATCTGACAATGGTGAATACTAACATCTGACAATGGTGTCTACTAACATCTGACAATGGGGTCTACTAAATAAAACCTCTGACAATGGTGTCTACTAACATCTGACAATGGTGACTACTAACATCTGACAATGGTGACTACTAACATCTGACAATGGTGTCTACTAACATCTGACAATGGGGTCTACTAAATAAAACCTCTGACAATGGTGTCTACTAACATCTGACAATGGTGACTACTAACATCTGACAATGGTGACTACTAACATCTGACAATGGTGACTACTAACATCTGACAATGGTGACTACTAACATCTGACAATGGTGACTGCTAACATCTTTGACAATGGTGATTACTAACAGCTCTGACAATGGTGTCTACTAACATCTGACAATGGTGTCTACTAACATCTTTGACAATGGTGACTACTAACATCTGACAATGGGGTCTACTAACAGCTCTAACAATGGTGTCTACTAACATCTGACAATGGTGACTACTAACAGATCTGACAATGGTGACTACTAACATCTGACAATGGTGACTACTAACACCTCTGACAATGGTGACTACTAACATCTCTGATAATGGTGACTACTAACACCTCTGACAATGGTGACTACTAACATCTGACAATGGTGACTACTAACACCTCTGACAATGGTGACTACTAACAGATCTGACAATGGTGACTACTAACAGATCTGACAATGGTGTCTACTAACACCTCTGACAATGGTGACTACTAACAGATCTGACAATGGTGACTACTAACAGATCTGACAATGGTAACCACTAACAGATCTGACAATGGTGACTACTAACAGATCTGACAATGGTAACTGCTAACAGATCTGACAATGGTGACTACTAACAGATCTGACAATGGTGTCTACTAACATCTGACAATGGTGACTACTAACATCTGACAATGGTGAATACTAACATCTGACAATGGTGACTACTAACATCTGACAATGGTGTCTACTAACATCTGACAATGGTGTTTACTAACACCTCTGACAATGGTGACTGCTAACATCTGACAATGGTGATTACTAACAGCTCTGACAATGGTGTCTACTAACATCTGACAATGGTGACTACTAACATCTGACAATGGTGACTACTAACAGCTCTGACAATGGTGATTACTAACAGCTCTGACAATGGTGATTACTAACATCTGACAATGGTGACTACTAACAGATCTGACAATGGTGACTACTAACAACTCTGACAATGGTGTTTACTAACAGCTCTGACAATGGTGTCTACTAACAACTCTGACAATGGTGTTTACTAACAGCTCTGACAATGGTGTCTACTAACAGTCCAGACAATGGTGTTTACTAACACCTGACAATGGTGACTACTAACACCTCTGACAATGGTGACTACTAACACCTGACAATGGTGACTGCTAACAGCTCTGACAATGGTATCTACTTACAGCTCTGACAATGGTGTCTACTAACATCTGACAATGGTGACTACTAACAGCTCTGACAATGACTACTAACACCTCTGACAATGGTGACTACTAACAGTTCTGACAATGGTGTCTACTAACAGTTCTGACAATGGTGACTACTAACACCTCTGACAATGGTGACTACTAACAGCTCTGACAATGGTGACTACTAACATCTGACAATGGTGACTACTAACATCTGACAATGGTGACTACTAACACCTGACAATGGTGTCTACTAACAGTCCTGACAATGGTGACTACTAACAGCTCTCACAATGGTGTCTACTAACAAATCTGACAATGGTGTCAACTAACAAATCTGACAATGGTAACTACTAATATCTGACAATGGTGACTACTTGCTCTCTGACAATGGTGTTTACTAACAGCTCTGACAATGGTGTCTACTAACACCTCTGACAATGGTGACTACTAACAGTCCAGACAATGGTGACTACTAACACCTCTGACAATGTTGTCTACTAACAATTCTGACAACGGTGACTACTAACACCTCTGACAATGGTTACTACTAACATCTGACAATGGTGACTACTTACAGCTCTGACAATGGTGTTTACTAACAGCTCTGACAATGGTGACTACTAACAGTCCTGACAATGGTGATTACTAACATCTCTGACAATGGTGAGTACTAACATCTGACAATGGTGACTACTAACATCTGACAATGGTGACTACTAACATCTGACAATGGTGACTACTTACAGCTCTGACAATGGTGTTTACTAACACCTCTGACAATGGTGACTACTAACAGCTCTGACAATGGTGTTTACTAACAGCTCTGACAATGGTGTCTACTTACAGCTCTGACAATGGTGACTACTAACAGCTCTGAAAATGGTGACTACTAAAACCTCTGACAATGGTGACTGCTAACATCTGACAATGGTGACTACTTACAGCTCTGACAATGGTGTCTACTAACAGCCCTGACAATGGTGATTACTAACAGCTCAGACAATGGTGTCTACTGACCGCTCTGACAATGGTGTCTACTAAAAGCTCTGACAATGGTGTCTACTGACAGCTCTGACAATGGTGTCTACTAAAACCTCTGACAATGGTGACTACTAAATTAAACCTCTGACAATGGTGTCTGCTAACATCTGACAATGGTGACTACTTACAGCTCTGACAATGGTGTCTACTAACAGCTCTGACAATGGTGTCTACTAACAGATCTGACAATGGTGTCTACTAACATCTGACAATGGTGACTACTAACACCTCTGACAATGGTGACTACTAACAGTTCTGACAATGGTGTTTACTAACACCTCTGACAATGGTTTCTACTAACAGGTCTGATAATGGTGACTACTAACAGCTCTGACAATGGTGACTACTAACAGTCCTGACAATGGTGACTACTAACAGCTCTCACAATGGTGTCTACTAACAAATCTGACAATGGTGTCTACTAACAAATCTGACAATGGTAACTACTAATATCTGACAATGGTGACTACTTGCTCTCTAACAATGGTGTTTACTAACAGCTCTGACAATGGTGACTACTAACAGTCCTGACAATGGTGATTACTAACATCTCTGACAATTGTGAGTACTAACACCTCTGACAATGGTGACTACTAACACCTCTGACAATGTTGTCTACTAACAGTTCTGACAATGGTGACTACTAACACCTCTGACAATGGTTACTACTAACATCTGACAATGGTGACTACTTACAGCTCTGACAATGGTGTTTACTAACAGCTCTGACAATGGTGACTACTAACAGTCCTGACAATGGTGACTACTAACACCTCTGACAATGGTGACTACTAACATCTGACAATGGTGTCTACTAACAGCTCTGACAATGGTGTCTACTAACAGCTCTGAAAATGGTTACTACTAAAACCTCTGACAATGGTGACTGCTAACATCTGACAATGGTGACTACTTACAGCTCTGACAATGGTGTCTACTAACAGCCCTGACAATGGTGATTACTAACAGCTCAGACAATGGTGTCTACTGACCGCTCTGACAATGGTGTCTACTAAAAGCTCTGACAATGGTGTCTACTGACAGCTCTGACAATGGTGTCTACTAAAACCTCTGACAATGGTGACTACTAAATAAAACCTCTGACAATGGTGACTACTTACAGCTCTGACAATGGTGACTACTTACAGCTCTGACAATGGTGACTACTTACAGCTCTGACAATGGTGTTTACTAACACCTCTGACAATGGTGACTACTTACAGCTCTGACAATGGTGTCTACTAACAACTCTGACAATGGTGTCTACTAACAACTCTGACAATGGTGTCTACTAACAACTCTCCTGGAGAATATTATACTACATACTTTGTTCTATAGTAGATCGATAATTTGGGGAGGGAGGAAATGGGCTGCGGGACTGACGTTTAAAACACTAAAAATAGTTTTATATGCATGTATCAGGAAAATATCTTGATTCAAATGCCAGTGGTTGTGATGTCGATAACGTGATAAAGGATATTGCTCTATCGCCTCCACAAATGTCTTCTCTTGTGTCAAGATAAATACAGTATTCACAGGTACCGTGTCTATATTTAATTTCTTCAATTCAAAGTATATTATGGTACGTGATGTTTAAATCTCGATAATGTTAAATGGTTCCTACTACCCCTCTTGAGGCCCCTAGGGTCATTACAGTGATACAGGTGCCTACCCCTCTTGGGGCCCCAAGGATCATTACAGAGATGCAGATTTCTATCCCACTTTTGGCCCCTAGGATCATTACATGGATACAGGTTCCTACACCTCTTAGGGCCCCAAGGATCATTACAGGGATACAGGTTCCTACACCTCTTGGGGCCCCTGGGGTCATTACAGAGATACAGGTTTCTACCCCTCTTGAGGTACCTAGGGTAATTACACACATACAGGTTCCTACACCTCTTGGGCCCCCTGGGGTAATTACAAGGATACAGGTTCCTACACCTCTTGGGGCCCCTAGGGTCATTACAGACATACAGGTGTCTACCCCTCTTATGGCCCCTAGGATCATTACAGAGATACAGGTTCCTACCCCTCTTGGGGCCCCTAGGGTCGTTACAGAGATACAGGTTCCTACACCTCTTGGGGCCCTTAGGATCATTACAGACATACAGGTTCCTACACCTCTTGGGGCCCTTAGGATCATTACAGGGAAACAGGTTCCTTCACCTCTTGGGGCCCCTGGGGTAATTACAAGGATACAGGTTCCTACGCCTCTTGAGGCACCTAGGATCATTACAGGGATACAGTTTCCTACACCTCTTGGGGCCCTTAGGATTATTACAGTGATACAGGTTCCTACCCCTCTTGGGGCCCCTAGGATCATTACAGAGATACAGGTAACGAATTACATCATTAGACTGATCAGCGATACAACAAGGAGTACAAACACTTCAGAGTGTGTACCTAAATTTGTATATTGATCGTGTACTGACGATATTAGGATAGCACTTCACACAGTATTCATGTAATCTTCAATAACAAATAGAATTATTTTGAATTTGATGTAACGAAATTCAAACTCGAGACATTTAGTTTGGAGTGTTAACCTCGTGTTGGTCAATATTTGGGTACGTCTCGCCGGGCCTGAAATAGCCTTGGTATATAAATATAACTATTTTGCCAGAAATTCAAGTCTTCCAGACATTATACACCTAATATATTTTGTTCCTGTACATCAATGTCTATCTGTTTAAACGCAAATGTCAAATACACCCACAACTAGCGATAGCCATTAGTTAGGAGTCTACGGTTTGCTATTTACGCTTTTTGCAGTGGAGACAAAAACTCCTCTTAGTGAGGAAGGCTTTGTCCCCTAAACAAAACCAACATTCGAAATAATGTTATAAAGGTTTGTGCCAGGACATTGTGAATGAATATCTACCCAGAGTTGTCGTTCCTGCCATTAATACAGGGGCGATAACTCTAGAATCGAAACAAGATCATTTCGGTGTGATGGTGCTATCAGGTAATATAAGGTTTGTTTGGTGTATGTTAACCAGCGGAAGAACTTCCTGAAATTCAAAATCGTTTGACTGTGAAGTTATCATGATTTTTGTCTGAGACGACGTTGAAACTCAATAATGAGTTTAAGATCTCACAACCTATGTAGCGGGTTAGGGTCGGATCTGTGGCGGAGTAGAGGACGGATCTGTGGCGGGTTAGAGGACGGATCTGTGGCGGGGTAAAGGGCGGATCTGTGGCGGGTTAGAGGACGGATCTGTGACGGGGTAGAGGACGTATATGTGACGGGTTAGGGTCGGATCTGTGGCGGGTTAAAGGACGGATTTGTGGCGGGGTAGAGGACGGATCTGTGGCGGGTTAGAGGACGGATTTGTGGCGGGGTAGAGGACGGATCTGTGGCGGGTTAGAGGACGAATTATGGCGGGGTAGGGTCGGATCTGTGACGGGTTAGGGTCGGATCTGTGGCGGGATAGGGTCGGATCTGTGGCGGGGTATAGGATGGATCTGTGGTGGGGTAGTGGACGTATATGTGACGGGTTAGGGTCGGATCTGTGGCGGGTTAAAGGACGGATTTATGGCGGGGTAGAGGACGGATCTGTGGCGGGTTAGAGGACGGATTTGTGGCGGGGTAGAGGACGGATCTGTGGCGGGTTAGGGTCGGATCTGTGGCGGGATAGGGTCGGATCTGTGGCGGGGTAGAGGATGGATCTGTGGCGAGGTAGAGGACGTATATGTGGCGGGTTATGGTCGGATCTGTGGCGGGGTAGAGGACGGATCTGTGGCGGGGTAGAGGACGTATATGTGACGGGTTAGGGTCGGATCTGTGGCGGGTTAAAGGACGAATTTGTGGCGGGGTAGAGGACGTATTATGGCGGGGTAGGGTCGGATCTGTGACGGGTTAGGGTCGGATCTGAGGCGGGGTAGAGGACGGATCTGTGGCGGGTTAGGGTCAGATCTGTGGCGGCAGGATCTGTGGCGGGTTAGGGTCGGATCTGTGGCGGAGTAGGGGACGGATCGGTGACGGGATAAAGGACGGATCTGTGGTGGGGTAGAGGGCGTATATGTGGCGGGTTAGGGTCGGATCTGTGGCGGGTTAGAGGACGGATCGGTGACGGGGTAGAGGACGGATCGGTGGCGGGGTAGAGGACGGATCTATCCTGTTCGGTACTTGTCTACCCTAACTAATGTACCTGTTTATTCTAACTGCTGTACCTGTATACCCTAACTACAGTACCTTTATACCCTAACTACTGTACCTGTTTAGTCTAACTATTGTACCTGTATACCCTAACTACTGTACCTGTATATCCTAACTACTGTACCTGTTTATTCTAACTACTGTACCTGTATACCCTAACTACTGTACCTGTTTATTCTAACTACTGTACCTGTATACACTAACTACTGTACCTGTATACACTAACTACTGTACCTGTATATCCTAACTACTGTACCTGTATACCCTAACTACAGTACCTTTATACCCTAACTACTGTACCTGTTTATTCTAACTACTGTACCTGTATACCCTAACTACTATACCTGTATATCCTAACTACTGTACCTGTTTATTCTAACTACTGTACCTGTATACCCTAACAACTGTACCTGTTTATTCTAACTACTGTACCTGTATACCCTAACTACTGTACCTGTATACCCTAACTACTGTACCTGTATATCCAAACTACTGTACCTGTATACCCTAACTACTGTACCTGTATCCCCTAACTACTGTACCTGTATATCCTAACTACTGTACCTGTTTATTCTAACTACTGTACCTGTATACCCTAACTATTGTACCTGTATACCCTAACTACTGTACCTGTATATCCTAACTACTGTACTTGTTTATTCTAACTACTGTACCTGTATACCCTTACTACTGTACCTGTATATCCTAACTACTGTACCTGCTACTGTACCTGTATATCCTAACTACTGTACCTGTATACCCTAACTACTGTAACTGTATACCCTAACTACTGTACCTGTTTATTCTAACTACTGTACCTGTATACCCTTACTACTGTACCTGTATATCCTAACTACTGTACCTGTATATCCTAACTACTGTACCTGTATATCCTAACTACTGTACCTCTATACCCTAACTACTGTACCTGTATACCCTAACTACTGTACCTGTTTATTCTAACTACTGTACCTGTATATCCTAACTACTGTACCTGTTTATTCTGACTACTGTACCTGTATATCCTAACTACTGTACCTGTATACCCTACCTACTGTACCTGTATACCCTAACTACTGTACCTGTATATCCTAACTACTGTACCTGTTTATTCTAACTACTGTACCTGTTTATTCTAACTACTGTACATGTATATCCTAACTACTGTACCTGTTTATTCTAACTACTGTACCTGTATACCCTAACTACTGTACCTGTATACCCTTACTACTGTACCTGTTTATTCTAACTACTGTACCTGTATACCCTTACTACTGTACCTGTATATCCTAACTACTGTACCTGTATACCCTAACTACTGTACCTGTATACCCTAACTACTGTACCTGTATACCCTAACTACTGTACCTGTATATCCTAACTACTGTACCTCTTTATTCTAACTACTGTACTTGTATACCCTTACTACTGTACCTGTATATCCTAACTACTCTACCTGTATATCCTAACTACTGTACCTGTATACCCTAACTACTGTACCTGTATACCCTAACTACTGTACCTGTATATCCTAACTACTGTACCTGTTTATTCTAACTACTGTACCTGTATACCCTAACTACTGTACCTGTATACCCTAACTACTGTACCTGTTTATTCTAACTACTGTACTTGTATACCCTTACTACTGTACCTGTATATCCTAACTACTGTACCTGTTTATTCTAACTACTGTACCTGTATACCCTAACTACTGTACCTGTATACCCTAACTACTGTACCTGTATATCCTAACTACTGTACCTGTTTATTCTAACTACTGTACCTGTATACCCTAACTACTGTACCTGTATACCCTAACTACTGTACCTGTATATCCTAACTACTGTAGCAGTATACCCTAACTACTGTTCCTGTTTAGTTTAACTACTCCCTTTCAGATCTACTTATCAAATTTGTTTGTAAGCCCTTTGAAGTGTTAAACAAAGTGTATCGAATATTCCATATGTTAGCACGTGTTTGCACGTTCCTTTCTCTAAATTTGAAATACGAACATATATTTTCGTTCTGCCATGATATCTGGCATTCGGAAGAGCTCTCCTCAAAACGATATACAATGTCATTATATATCATCCTCAAACAAAGGTCTATTTAAATCATCTTCATTTCAAGGTCATGGCAGCACTACAAAGTATACCAGATTAGGTACTCAGGCTGGATATAAACATCCCACGCACGCTTACACCTGTATACGTATACTGCTATAAAAATGATAATTGTTGAAAGAACATTTTGGAAACAAAAACATTTGTCAAAGAACCATTATCTGTATAGCACTGTTGTTGATCTCTAACGTAACAAATTGATATGGTGTTCCTTGTTCGGTTGGCGTTTGTTCAGGCTAGAAGTCCCATCCAACCAGTTTTCACAAATCTCTTCTTATGAAACGAAAATCTACACACACTATGTGTATTTTTATATTGTTTAACGATAGTTTAGTGGCCTCAAAATTAAGTCAAACCGAAAATCAAACATAGGTTGTGGGACTGCCATGTCACAGCTTTAACTCTGAGAAAGAAGTGTTCAGGGCCCGAAAAATAAAAATAAAAAACCCTTCAGAAAAACACTCATTCGTCAACCTTTACAAACTTTAGTTCATATATTAGAATATTTACGAAATTCTTTTCTTTCCACCGGGAAGAAAAGTCACATATTAGGGCTGTCCTTTTTCGCTTCATGATTTTAGCGAAAATGTCTCATTTTGAGTAATGTTTCGTTAAAATTTCAACCTCTACTCTCTTCCAGTCATAATAAACTACACGTGTTCAATGTACGACAACATTGCATGGCGATGTATATTGCTATATTGATATATAAACGATTGTGTAAACAGAAAAAAACACACAAACAAAAACGTTTGTTGTTCTAAACCAAAAACTGCCATTTTAACCCTTATATAATTTTATCCAAATATTTACATTTTACATAACTTTGTTTATTTGTTTTATGTTCTATGTATGTGATGTAATTCATGCAATATTTGTGTCTTGATAAAGGGTCCAGGTTGCCTTGAAAATTTGACAATGCACTTGTCCGTGTTGTTGCTATTACTTCATTGATCATATCTATAACTTAATGGGTATTTTCGTTTGGTTCCTAGTAAATGGGAAAAACAACTCTTTTTTAACTTTCCGAAAAGTGACGAACATCGATCGGAAAGTAATTCAGCACTTTTCGGTTTGGAAAAACATATATGATACATGTATTCGTTCCCAACTTTTTCACAATGGAAACCTTAAA